CTTCCAAAATTGTGCAGTTTATTGGTTTTCTACTTCCGTATGTGCAAGTAAAAGTACTCCGGGCAAAAAATGGTGCAAACAACAGTTCTATTGCTTCAATACTGCCTCTAGTGCTGGTGTCTCCAAACTTTCCAAGCAAGGGGCCAGTTTACTGACCTTTAGGAGGGCCAGGCGGTGGACAGCGGAAGGAGAAAATGCCCTGATACAGTGCCCCATCAGTGGTTTTAATGGGAGGAATAATATCCCTTCGTTGATATCAATGAGATGTATAGTGATGGTGTCAGTAGGAGGAATGGTGCCCCATTGTTGGTGTTAGTTGGTGGAATAGTGCTCCAAGGGCAGATAAACGCAAAGGGCCACATCCAGCTCCCAGGCCGCAGTTTGGAGGGCCACTGCTCTAGTGCCTCACTCCACCACCATTCTGGAGAACTGGCCACAGATTGTTCTCTTTGGGATTTCTTTTCTTGTGGGTCCTTTACCCACAAGCTGGTGTTTGTGCTGCGTATCTCCTTGGTCCTGAGGACACCACCTTTAACTTTGGTGAGTCGGCCTAATTATTTACATAATACTTTGGCAGTGGTTCCCGATTCTGGTGTTATTATTTTTCCGGAGAACTCGCCATGACCTCTCATTTAAGAGTTGGTCTGTAGGCGCTTTTTAATTCCCCAATCGGATGTGCCACATCCAGGAATCCGCTTTCCCTTAGTACAGGATCACCAGGGACATCATAGAATTAGCGGGGAAAGAGACTGCGAGACGCCAATAGGGATGGGGAGAGAGGCGCCAAGCCGCCAATAGTGTAGCAAATTTTATTGAATAAAAAAGGGTATAAAATGCAATAATTATGCGCTCACAGACATCGCTGGTCATGAGCAATGGATCAAGCTCCAAATGGAGACATCAGTCCAGAGTCCAGTCCAATGTCAGGAGTGCTGTGAAGCCAAAGCAGGGATCCAAGCAAGCCGCCCGGGGAGCCCCAGCTGGAGATCAGATCTGTTGGGAGAGCTGGCCAAGGAGCTGTCAACCGTCCAGGGTGCTATGACCAATCAGAATGCATTTCCGAGTCCAAATCACACCTCCTTCATCAGCCTCTGTGAAGACCTAATGACGTCTTCAGGAGATGTTGAGTCCTTCAGGAGACGTTCTTGCGTCCCTCAGGAGACGTTCTTGCGTCCCTCAGGAGACGTTCTTTCTTGCGTCCCTCAGGAGACGTTCTTGCGTCCCTCAGAAGACGTTCTTGCGTCCCTCAGAAGACGTTCTTGCGTCCCTCAGAAGACGTTCTTTCTTGCGTCCCTCAGAAGACGTTCTTGCGTTCTTCAGAAGACGTTCTTGCGTCCTTCAGAAGACGTTCTTGCGTCCTTCAGAAGACATTCTTACATCCTTCAGGAGTCTCCTTAGGCGTCAATATGGTGAAATATCGAAGTGTCGAGGCAGAGCTACAGGACATGACATCATCCTGACCTGGAGGAGACACCCGGAAGTGGTGAGAAACAGCTGCATAGCAGAGCGATCCAAGCTTGCACTAGGTACAGTAGATCCGACCCACTGCGAGAATAGGTGGTTGAACCGGGGTGCAGGGCAGAATGCACCATAAAAAGAGAGCGCATTCGCTGATGTTTTTACGTGATTGTATGAAGTGGTTTTAATAAAGGGTTTTATACTATTGGAGTCTCTTTCCCCTCCAATTCTATGATGTCCCTGGTGATCCTGTGACTAAGGAAAAGCGGATTCCTGGATGCGGCACATCTGATCGGGGAATGAAAAAGCACCTATAGACCAACTCTTAAATGAGAAGTCATGGCTCTCTGGCAAGTTCACTGGAATGGTGGTGGTGCACGGTGGTGGAGTGAAGCACTAGAGGCTGTACTGAAGCAATAGATGAAATGGTTTGCACCATTTTTGCACATATGGAAGAAGAAATGCAATGCACCGCACAATTTTTGAAGAAGAAGCAAAGGGAAATTGCACTTTATGTGGACTGTACAGGCGTACCTCGATTTACGAACGCCTCGGTTAACGGAATTTTTGGTTTCCGAATAAAATCCATTGCAAATAATGCCTCGGTTTACAATTTTTTTCGCAATACGAAGCATGTTTCCCCAGGATGCATTGCGCCTGGGAGGTTTATAGCGCCGTCCCGTGCCTTTAAAGTGCACTTTATAAAGAGTTTTGAACAGATAAAAGACTTCTTTTTTACTTTTTTTTGACCTCCGGAACGGATTCATTGGTTTTCAATGCATTTCCGAATTCATTTTTAATCATGTCCCTGTACAGTATTTATGCCTTTAAAGTGTACTTTATAAAGAGTTTTGAACAGATAAAAGACTTCTTTTTTACTTTTTCTGACCTCCGGAACGGATTAATTGGTTTTCAATGCATTTATGAATTTTTTTCGCAATACGAAGCGTTTCCCCAGGATGAATTGTGCCTGGGAGGTTTATAGCTGCAGCTCCGTGAATGCTGGAGCCTGTGGGTAGCACGTGGCGTCGAGGGTGGAGGTGTTGGAGTGGTTTTTGCATCGAGTTTTGGAGCCATTCTGGAAATTTTTAATCATGCCCCTGTACAGTATTTATGCCTTTAACCCCTTGGCGCCGGCATCTCCTGGCCCTTTAGGGGTTTCAGAAGCCGGAAGTTTAGGGTCATGTGACTGCTGTCACATGATTGGGAAAGGTCCCGATCACAAGAGATTGGGACCTGTCCGTGAGCATCGGACATGTGTGATGGGCGCAGAGCGCGCACTCTCAGCACATATGTTTTTTTTAATTGTATGCAAATGTGCGGCTGCTTGGCGTCAATGCTGAGAGGCCACACATTTGTGTGCACTCGGCATGAAGGAGGTTAAAGTGCACTTTATAAAGAGTTTTGAACAGATAGAAGACTTATTTTTTTACTTTTTTCTGATCTCCGGAACGGATTAATTGGTTTTCAATGCATTTATGAATTAATGTTTTAATCATGTCCCCGTACAGTATTTATGCCTATAAAGTGCACTTTATAAGGAGTTTTGAACAGATAAAAGACTTTTTTCTTTAAACTTTTTTTCTGACCTCCGGAAAGGGATTGATTTTTAATGCATTCCTATGGGAAACCGTGTTTCGATTTACGATTTTTTTGCAATACAAAACGTCCCGCAGAATGCATTCAATTCATAAACCGAGGTCCACCTGTATCGCACTTTATTGAGTTTGCTCATTAGAAATTTCTAAGTTAATTTATTTGCATGATTCACTAGAGGAGCGCTGTATACGGTTGAGTAATATGGGTGGCTGTATTAGTTTTCTTTTTTTTAGGCTCACTTCCTTTTTATTGTCATCTGGCGATCTAGCCAGTTTTTCAATAGAACAAGCTGTATATTTACATGTTTGTGTGAAATACAGCTGGTGGAGTGGGGAAGGGGGGTTTCGTGGGGGGAGGGGATTGTTTTTAGCACGTGTTAATGGTTAGGGGTAATGCAGCCACCACATCTAAGAATTGGTAAGCGGCAATATAATAAATGTTTGTTTTTGGGTTTAATACTGCTTCAAAACTCCAGGGCAGCCGTGGCGTGTACTATTGCTAAATGTTGGTAAAGTTTTAGATCACACAGACTGCGATGGCAAACAGACGACCAAATGTACAAGTAAAGCTGGAGGTCAATGGAAGCCTCAGGATGCCGAACAATCTGTCCTTATTAAAGAGAAACCAGTGTAAGGGCAGCTTAACCGCTTTCCTGCCGCCCTATAGCAGAAATACTGCTGCATGGTGGCAGGGGTGCGCAAAATCATGTATATATTTCGCATTTCAGGGTAGGAGGCGCGCGCATGCCCTACCCGCGCCGCTATTCACGGCCTCGGCTGTCAGTCACCGGGTCCCGGCCGGTGATTACTCGCGGCGATCGCTGAGTATTACCAACGGGGGGGGGGGGAGAGAACTATATGTAAACAATACAGATCTCTCCCGTCAGCTCCTGCACACTGCTTTGTATGGCTCTGCATAGCAGTGTGCTTACAGTTGAAAGCACAGAAACCACACAGTTAACCCTTTGATCGCCCAAGATGTTAACCCCTTCCTGCCCAGTGCAATTAGTACAGTGTCAGTGCTTTTTATCAGTACTGATCACTGTATTGGTGTTAGAATGCCCGCCGCAGTCCCGCCGCCATTACTAGTATAAAAAAAAAAAAAAAAAAAACATTTCCAGTATCTATTCCGCCATTTGTAAACACTATAACTTTCACGTAGACCAATTAATTTACAGGTATTAGGATTTTAATTTTTTTTTAGCAAAGACATGTAGCACTGATTACTGTATTGATGTCACTGGGTATTGTCAGTGACACCAAGTCAGTTCCCCCCCAGTGTCAGAATGCCCGCCGCCATTACTAGTAATAAAAAAAAAAAAAATTCAAGTATCTATTCCGCCATTTTTAAACGCTATAACTTTCAGGTAAACCAATTAAATTTACACGTATCGGGATTTTTATTTTTTTTTTAGCAGAGTCTAAATTATGGCCTAAATTTATGATGAAATCAGATTTTTAAATTTTTTTTTTACTGGACATGTTTAATAGCAAAATATCCAAAATATTGTTTTTTTTTCCTCAAAATTGTCGGCCTTTTTTTTTTATAGCGCCAAAAATAAAAAACCGCACAGGCGATCAAATACCACCGAAAGAAAGCTCTCTTCGTGGTTAAAAAAAGGAACGTAAATTTCATTTGGGTGCAGCGTCGCATGACCGCGCAATTGTCAGCAATGCAGAAAATGGCCAGGTCAGGAAGGGGGTGAAATCCTCTGGAGGGCGAGGGATTAAAAGAAAACGTCGTAGTTACATACACACACATTCCCACGTAGAAGGACGAAAAAATTAAAATAAAACATATGTTACAGAGCAGCCTCCCTCCGAAGAGAATTCAAGTCTGTGCCGTGGATAGTGGCGTGGCGTGAGGTCTGGGTTATTATTATTACAGGTATCATAGTGCGTGTGCTCAGTCCCGCTCAGAAATCCGCAACGGACACGATGATGTCATCTCTTAGACTTCCAGGAAATTCTAGAATACGGCATGCTCCTCTTCTTCTCCGACGCTTTAAAGTAAGAGTATGACGGCTGACCAGGCAACTCGTTGTCGGGGTTTTCTTGCATCATTTTCAGCTTGGCCTCGATGGCTTTGATTTTAGCACTGACACTGCACCAAAAACAAAAAAAAAAAATAAAAAACTAGATGAGAATCAATTTAAATACATAATCTTAGTAGTAAACAGTGAAGGCACGCTATGAGTTAAGCCTAAGGAGGTGCATGACATCCCCTGAACACAGCTCTATAGGTTTTAGACTCAGCCAGAGGTACACTGGGGACACGCAGGCTGTGCAAGAAAAAAAAGGCACACAGTGCAGCGATGCCTGCCCTCCCCTCTGCTGCCCATTCACACAGAAGCCTTTGTATTTTGTTAAATTTGAGAACATAATACAAAGGCTTCTGTGAATAGGCAGGAGGAGGGGAAGGAAGGGCATATCAGTTGCAGCAATATCTGCCTCTCCCCTCTGCTGCCCATTCACATAAGCATTTGTATTTTATGAATGTGCTCACATAATACAAAGGCTTCTGTGAATAGGCAGGAGGAGGGGAAGGGGGGGCATATCAGTTGCAGCAATATCTGCTTCTCCCCTCTGCTGCCCATTCATATAAGCCTTTGTATTTTATGAATGTGCTCATGTAATATAAAGGCTTCAATGAATGGGCAGGAGGAGGGGAGAGGGGAGGAGGGGAGGGCATAGCGGCTGCAGTGACTCTCCTGTTCAAGATGCAGAACTCAGAAGGATCAGAGTTGCCCTCCAGAAATTACTCTTCTGGGAGTACTGCGAAGCTCTCAGATATAAATAATAGAGCTAAGCCTGGGAGGTGTCATGCACCTTAACTTAGTGTGCCTTCATTTTTCTACAAAGCGGCATTCTTGGAATTCATTTTTAAATTCCATCTTTCTACCTGCTTTACCTAAAAGCTGACCTCTAGCCTTCCCTTCAGTCTTTTACAGTTGTATCGGCTCCGCCCTGTACTGAAATTTCTTATGACACGAATACATGGTCAGAAAAACGACCGATCTGTCACCCGATGACCGATCGACGTTCGTTCGTCGAAATCGTGGCCCACATTAACCAATCGAAAATAAATAGTTCGCCGAGCAATATGTAGTGTTGACGTCTTCCGTACAAATGGAAGTGATGCAGTGTGCGTGTGACCTTGCAGCCATGCCCTTCCGCCCAGAACGAGCGTTCAACGTCCTGCCGCCCAAAACAAGCGATTGGACATAAATCCTTGGAATTAATTAGATTAATTAAATTTTATTTATGGATCCTTGGACATAAACATCCGGGTCATCTTCTGCTCATGCGTGTTAGCACTTGATAGATTTTTTTTCAGATGACCGTCGTACCACCGCATAGAAAATCGGACGTTCGCATGTGAAACGACAAAAAATTTTTCACTGTTGTTCAACCAGATTTTTTCGTTCACAATATCGTTATCGGTTATAACATCCTGCTCATCAACGAAGAGAAAAATCGGTCGATCACTTGATCGTACGATTTTCTTACCGTGTATTCCTGGCTTTACTCTGATTTCACAGTGTGCGTTGAAATCATGTGCATTAGAAGCTGCAGCAAATCAGATTGAGCTCCGCCTCATTTCCTGGCTGGAGGTCGACCAGCGTCATCCATCCTCTTCCTCCCAGCCTGACTGTCCCTGGCCCATCCATTCCATTCAGTTTATTCAATCATGGAGGGTCAGCATCACATGTGGGAGGTCGACCAGCGTCATCCATCCTTCCTCCCAGCCTGACTGTCCTGGCCCATCCATTCCATTCAGTTCATTCAATCATGGAGGGTCAGCATCACACGTGGGAGGTCAATCTCATCATCTATTACTCCTCCCCAGCCTGACTGTCCCTGGCCTGTCCCTTCCATTCAGTTCATTCAATCATGGAGAGTCAGCATCACATGTGGGATTGGCCAGCATCATGTATCCTCTCCTCCCAGCCTGACTGTCCCTGGCCCGTCCCTTCCATTCCATTCAATCATTCAATCACATGGGGGGTCAGCCAGCATCATCTATCCTCTCCTGTGCCTGACTGTCCCTGGCCCGTCCCTTCCATTCAGTTCATTCAATCATGGAGGGTCAGCATCACACGTGGGAGGTCAGCCAGCATCGTCTATCCTCTCTCCCCAGCCTGACTGTCCCTGGTCTGTCCCTTCCATTCAGTTCATTGATCATGGAGGGTCAGCATCACATGTGGGAGGTCAGCCAGCATCATCTATCCTTCTCCTCCCAGCCTGACTGTCCCTGGCCCATCCATTCCATTCAGTTTATTCAATCATAGAGGGTCAGCATCACATGTGGGAGGTCGGCTAGCAGCATCATCTATCCTCCTCCCCCAGCCTGACTGTCCCTGGCCCATCCATTCAGTTCATTCAATCATGGAGGGTCAGCATCACACGTGGAAAGTCAGCCAGCATCATCTATCCTCTTCCTCCCTGCCTGACTGTCCCTGGCCCATCCCTTCCATTCAGTTCATTCAATCATGGAGGGTCAGCATCACATGTGGGAGGTCAGCCAGCATCATCTATCCGCTTCCTCTCTTACTGTCCCCCGTCCCTTCCATTCAGTACATTCAAATATGGAGGGTCAAAATCACATGAGGAGGTCAGCATGCAAATATAGCCTACCTAGAAACACCCACACCTCTAGATTGACCCATCAAGGCATTCTGATAGCTGCATAACTCCTCCCAGGAGCCAGCCCACTGCTTGCATCTGAGCACAGTAACTAAGTGGTTAGCACTTCTACCTAGCAGTACTAGGATCATCAGTTTGAATCCCAACCATGGCATTACCTGCATGGAGTTTGCATGTTCTCCTGATGCCTGCATGGGTTTCCTCCCCCACAAAACAAAGACATGCCGGTAAGGAAATTGGCCCTAATATGTGTATATGAATGTGCGTTAGGGACCTTAGATTGTACGCCCCTTGAGGGTCAGGGACTAATGTGAATGCTATATATGGATTGAACAGTGCTCCGTGAGATGCTCAAAGCTTGCAATATTTTTTTTTATAACCTAACCCTGCTTTAAACTTCTCCACAACTTTATCCCTGACCTGTCTTGTGAGTTCCTTGGCCTTCATGATGCTGTTTGTTCACTAATGTTCTCTAACCTTAGTACAAAACAGATGTAGTTATACTGAGATTACACAATACACAGGTGGACTCTATTTACTAATCAGGTGACTTCTGAAGGCAATTGGTTCCACTAGATTTTAGTTAGGGGTATCAGAGCAAAGGGGGCTGAATACAAATGAATGCCGCACTTTTCAAATATTTGTAAAAATTGTTGAAACCATTTCTCATTTTCCTTCCACTTCACAATTATGTGCTGCTTTGTGTTGGTCTATCACATCAAATCCCAATAAAATACATTGACGTTCTTGGCTGTAACATGACAAAATGGGGAAAATTTCAAGGGGTATGAATACGTTTTCAAGGCATGTAGCGCTGCGTAAATTGATGGCACCATGCGAGTACCTGGAATAATGCTGACTTTTAAAAATCGGGTACCTACCAACGCCTGGGGTCCGGCGCTGGTTTTCTGCAGTTGGTTCTTCCTACCGGCTGTGGGTCCCCAGTGCGGCCATCTTGGATACAGGAGACGGCTGTGACTTCCTGAGGAACCGCAGCCGGCTCCCCACTGGTTCTGCAGATGTCCCGGAAGGCTGTAGGAGGGGAGGCGGCAGGGCGAGGATTGTGTAAGTGGAAGCAAGTACCAATAATAATTAAAAAAAAAAAAAATGGTACTTGTTACCACCCTATCCTGCCCCGCCCCACCCCAAAAAAACAATGTAACTCAATTATTGACTAGAGCGATGTGCACAAGAGCAGCGGCTCTCTCCCTCCTCATAGGCTGAGACGGCAGCAAGACCAATTGGCTCTCGCTGCTGTCAATCACAGTGAGGAGGGAGTGGGGGGCGAGGCTAAGCTGCGCTCTGTGGATCTATGGACACACTAAGCCAGCTCAAGAGCGAGTCTGCACGACATGACAAGTGGCTTGCTATGGTGGGCACTCAGAGGGGGGGGGGGGGGGAGTAGTGCAAAAGTATTAGTAGATTATTATTCTACGCTCCACCAGCAGCCGGCGCTCTCCAGCGTTCTGGAATGTAGGCGGGGCCCTTACCTACAACAAGACTACTGTAGGCAAGTCACTACGACTTCTGATTTTATTGTAATTACAAACTTGCCCTCCAGAGGATTTACCCCCCCCCCCCTTCCTGACCAGGCCATTTTGTGCGATAAGGCGCTGCGTTACTTTAACTGACAATTGCGCGGTCATGCATTGTTGTACATAAGTTAAACCTATATCCTTTTTTTTTTCCCACAAATAAAGCTTTCTTTCGGTACTGATCACCTGTGCATTGTTTTGTGCGCTATAAAGAAAAAAAGACCGACAATTTTGAAAAAAAAAAAAACAATATTTTTGACTTTTTGCTATAAATCATGTCCAGTAAAAATCTTTTTTAAAAAATATCGAATTTCGTCATACATTTAGGCCAAAATGTTTTCTGCTCCATGTCTTTGCTAAAAAAAAAAAATACCAATACATGTAAATTAATTGGTTTACGTGAAAGTTATAACGTTTAAAAATGGCGGTATAGATACTGGAATGTTTTTTTTCTTTTTGTAATACTAGTAATAGCGCGATTAGCGACTTATAGCGGGACTGCGGCGGGCATTCTGACACTGGGGGGGAACTAACTTGGTGTCACTGACAACCCCAGTGACACCAATACAGTGATTAGTGCTAAAAAAACAGCACGGACGCTGTACTAATGGCACTGGGCAGGAAGGGGTTAATGTGAGGGGCGATCAAAGGGTTAACTGTGTGATGGGCGTGTCTTACTAGGGGGTGGGGGGAGGGTGGGCGTACTTCACTGTAAACCACAATGATCGGGATTGGCTGTGCTCAGCCATCCCGAGCAGTGTGCCCAAACTGACAGGGAGGAGGGCTGTTGGTAAACAATGCAGCTCTCTTCCCTATCGGTGATCGCCGGCAGTCACCGGGGAACTGACTAACTGCCACTGACATCCCCAGTGACACCAATACAGTGATCAGTGCTAATAAAAAGCCTTGACACTGTACTAAC